ATTCGCGTAGAATGGTGGAATTGCTCGCGCGACTGAAGAGAACTTTTAGTGCGGTGAGTGCTCTGAAGGTTTCTGCATTACTTTCTTGCCCTTTCACTTCTGAAGGGCGTTAACGTTTCTTTGTTTACTGCTGGCACACGTGGGCCGTTTTATTAACCGTTCATTTTGGTATTTCCCCTTCGCATGCAATTGATATATTCACTTGTCGTCACGTGAGATGTGAAGTTTGCGCAGCGGTCAAGTCTCTGTTGGGGCCTCGTGAGTGGTTACCACTGTTTCGGAGAGATATTGCTTACATCTTCAGGGCTGAACTATTCTAAATTCGGAGGATCACTATCGCAGTTTATGCTTTTGCCGTTTCCTTCCCGATGTATATATATATAATTGGGGGGCACGGTAGCGCAGTTTGAGGCTTTACGCTACAAACTGGAAGGTGTAAGGTTTGATTCCCAGTGAGGTCATCTTTCAGCCCCTAACAGAACTTAGTACCAGGAATCTTCCCTTGGGGTAGCGCTGACAGCCTGCCCGCCATCTGTGAGCCGATTGTCTACAAAAAGGGGGGGCCCCGACGGCCTGTTACAGGGTGGCTTGCCATTCCGTGTTACTGTGCTCGCTTCGGATTTTCTTTTTCTTCCATTGTTTTGCTTTGTTGGTAGGCTACCGTCCGTGTGCCCTTGTTGCACTGGCAACCCCTGCAGTCTGCAAGTTTGGGGGTTCTTCCGTCTTCACCGAGCCTGGTAACTGTTTGTATTGGCTGCCCACACAGTGTAACATGTCCAGGCCCGTATTCGCGAGAAGCTCGGGTTCGAGTCTCACCCTTAGCACAGGCCGCCCTGACCGAGGTTGTCTCTGATTTTCCTCAGTCACTCCAAATTAGGATAGTGTCTCGGTTTGGAACACGACTGCTGCCTTTTAACGATAAGTATGTGTGTATGTATGTATATATATAGACACACAGTTCAGCTGCCAACATCCCACAATCCCCCCCCCGCGCAAAAATTAAATAGCTGGCGTTTGCAGTGAAGTCTGCTTTCCGTGAGAGCAAACAGACTTTGTAGTGTTATTGAGGTGAACTTCAGGCTTCAAAGGGTTGCTCACTTTAATTGCGAAGCAGACTTGGTTTATGGGCGCACAGCGCGCCCTGTGGGGAGAAGAGTTGGCGAACAGTTCACTGTAGCAAGTGTTCAGATGCTCCGGCCTTCTACTACTGACCTCCTTTTGCTGTTTGGTTCGATGCCAGGGAAGGCTGCTGCCCGCTCGGTTTACCCTACTTCGGTCCGTCAGCCTACAAACCTTGGGTTAGTTGTTGATCCAAAGTGGCACAACCGATTCTGCGCGTCATCTTATATAATGTATTGAGGCATTGCTCCAGTTCCGCCGCATTCGGCTTTTTCTGGGAATTAATTGCTCAACGAGTGTAAGCGGTTATGAAACTGTGAGACGCGGGCCGAGGGTGCGCCCTCAGCTGGCCACTTTTGAGTCCAAGCTGTGTTACGACCGACGGTCAGTCGGCCACTGTCTTGGTGTCGAGCACTCATCTGGTGCCGAAGACCAGACAGTTGCGGGTTCGTTTATGTGAGGCTCCCTCTCTGACGAGAGGATGGGTGTCATTTACAGCTGCTGCAGGCCCTCACCAGCGCAGTCATTCTCAGGTCCCAGTCCCACGGGACTCATGACCACAGTTTACTGTCTCAGAATCGAGTCTCCCTAACCTGGAGGGCCAGGCCCCCGTATTTATATCCCCCAGGAACAGTGTGGCCCGGTTATATCCCCAGGCACTGGGTTCCCTTTTCGTCTCCTGCGGCTCGCAGGGCTACGGGCCAGTTCTGAGCTGTGCTGTCTCTCGCGCTCCAGTTTATTGGAATCACTTGGAATTAATTACAAGTTTTATCAGTACATGGTAGCGTAGTTGGTTGAGGCACTGTGCTACAAGCCGGAAGGTCGCGGGTTCGATTGACCTATCCATTCAAGCAGCACTGCCTGTTACAGGGATGCCGTTACCTTATCAGTACAGCCATATACTTGAAGCGCAGGTGACTTTTGCTTGATAGGCGCGCCGTTCCACTCTGCTATTCCAAATGCCAGGCGTTTTTGTTGCTTTGGAACTACAGGCCAGGAACTCGTCACGGCCACCCGGATCCCTCGCAAAATCATTGGGTGGACATGCTCCTAATCGATCGTTATGAGAGCTATCGATACTGATTTGTGTCGTTGACTGACGTTGCGCCGTTCGTCGTGTGTTTATCGCCGAAGTTCCTGTCAGTGCACGGTGCTGTCACAAGCGTGACTGTAGCGGCACGTGGTAGGATTGCTGAATGAATTGGGAAGGAAACGGTCATGAGCTCCAGGTGTTCACCCCGAAGAACAGGAAACCCACAAAACTCTTGTCAGGGTCCCCGATGTCCGGCTGGGGTTCCAACTGAACACTTCACGTATAGAAGTAGCTTTTTCGAATCAAATTGTATGTTACGTAGACTGAAGGAGCGTGTAGGACGCACGAGAGCAGAAACATGTAGAGCCCACAAAATTTTGTTCAGAAATCGTGAAGGGACGCAGATGGGAGAATGACATTGAAAATAATCTTTAAACAGGTACGGTGAATTGGATTCATTTGGCTCGGGATAGGATCCATTGGCAGGTTCTTGTGAACAGGTCAGTGAAAAGTCGGGCCGAATAAAAAAAAAAAAGGACTTGGAATTTGTTGCCTAGCTGAGCGACTGGGCTCCGTGGAGATGTTAGGGAACTAATTACACAATAATGCAGAAGAAAGGCAAAGCTGTAGGTATGCTTGTAACAGGCCGTGGGGGCCTATTGGGTTGTGAGACAATCGGCTCCCAGACAGCGGTGAGGTCAGCCTTACGCGCCGGCCCCCCTTTACCCCCAAGAAGATTCCGGTGCCCATTTCTGTTAGAGGCCGAGTGGACCCCAGGGCCATAGTGCGGCTGGAAGGTTAGGTCAATTGAAAATTCCAATGGCATTAGGGAATCGAACCCGCGACCTTCGGGCTTGTAGCATAGTACTGCATACTGAAACAAAGTATCTTCGTGTATGACGAGCCTTGTGGTTTGCTCCGTGTCCACAGTCTCTTGTTCAGTTCATCAGAGCTGAATCGTTATTTAGGTCTGGGCACGTGGCACTCCCGTGAGTTCTGATCCGTGGTGCCGCATGGAATACGAGTGGTTATAATATTAAAATGGTTCTCGGAGTGGTAACACGTCTGGCCGACCGTGTTATCTATACCGACGTTGGGTTTTCATCATTTCCTTCCCAACCCCTTCCGATTGGCCTGGACAATCATCATACATTTCACACTATGGCAACGCGCCCAATTCGTGTCCCGAGTTCCTCGATTTGAATCTCGGAAAGGGATACGTAATACGCAGTGATAGTACGGTGCACAGGAGCACAGCAGAAACCTTGCAAATGATTCGTCGTCGTGAAACGACGCTTGGTGTTTCTGTAGATAGACCCGCATGACGCTGAGCGAAAGCGTGACCGTGGCCTCGCGCGCAGCCCGCCGCTCGTCTCCGTGGCTACCAGCGGATGTCATGGCAACATGGGATGGCATGGATCACCTTTGCCATTTCATTATCTCGCTGTTATGTCCAATTACAGAACATTAAGCCTTGTTACTGATGTGGAATGTTTTGATGAACATGGCGTCGGATATTTTGTTTGTTTGCTCTTTGTAATGGCCGTGTGCCCTCTACATAGGCACACCGAGAAACTCGGCGATTTATGCTAGTCCCTTGGTGCTGTAGGGCAGTTGCTCATGCTAGTCCCTTGGTGCTGTAGGGTAGTTGCTCTTTGTAATGGCGGTGTGCCCTCTACATAGGCACACCGAGAAACTCGGCGATTTATGCTAGTCCCTTGGTGCTGTAGGGCAGTTGCTCATGCTAGTCCCTTGGTGCTGTAGGGTAGTTGCTCTTTGTAATGGCGGTGTGCCCTCTACATAGGCACACCGAGAAACTCGGCGATTTATGCTAGTCCCTTGGTGTTGTAGGGCAGTTGCTCATGCTAGTCCCTTGGTGCTGTAGGGTAGTTGCTCTNGAAATGTGAGAAGGTACGATGGGCTGGACGTGTGGTTAGGAGGGAGAGACCAGAAATACACGTGGAATTTTTTGCGAATCTCCTATAAGCCGATCACAGTGGTCACGCGGTCGAAGGTATAAATTGTCCTCGCCCATTCGAACCTTAGGTCGTGGGTTCGGATCCCACTCGAGACATTGATGTCTCTGCGTTTATTCTGTTTGTGCTGTCCTGTGTGCAGGTAGCGGCCTTGCGACGGGCTGATCCCCCGTTCAAGAAGCCCTACCGACCGTGTACAGGATTACGAAACCGAGAAATAGAGCAGGTCCCAACATGGCCGTGGAGTCGTTGTTGAAAGAATTAATGGACGAACCTCTTGTAAAACGTTTACTTTGAGAGCCCAGACGGAGGCGGGAAGATATTAAGATGGATTTTAGAAGGATGGTGCGTGGAGTTGAGAAGTCTCAGGACCGAATGCAGTGGCTTGCTGTGCAACTAGCGGTGTTGAGTCTTTGGTTTCTGCTACCAGAGATTTAGGTAATAGCAAGATGGGTCGTGCGGTAATAAGTTGTGACGATGGGAGATGGATTCAACTGGCTCAGGATTGTGCTTCGACATTAGCGACCTTATACGACAGGTTCGCCGATCACAGTGGCCGTGCTGTCTAAGGCTGAAACACTGGAATCGTGGGTTCGAATCCCACTTGAGGGATGGTTGTCTGTATTGTGTGCGTTTATTCTGTGTCTGTTGAGTTCTGTTTGCGACTTTAAGCGCTAGGATCATCTCGCGCCATGATATATATCAAGTTCTGCAGTAATTTTGAGAGAAACGATTCTCTTTTATTACTGTGACTTAATGAAAGTCATGGGTTTCGTCATGGCGTTGCTGCCAGGGCCACAGACCCACACGAGGGCTGTCGCCTTCTGCTTGCGAGCCACATAAAACATGCCAGATCTGTGTTTCTGTTCCAGATGATTGGACTGAGTGACTGTACGTGGAGGTTTTGCGCCATGTTGGATAGTCAGTCCGTTTCTTAGCAGCGGGCGTCAAGCCGTCACAGAGGCAACATCTCCGTCATTCAGAATTAGTGCTGCTTCACCGCCACTCACCCTCGTCGCATTGGTAGCCGAGGGAGACGAGACAGGGCTCACATCAAGAGTTTTGGGTGAGCGCATGCGTACTGCTTCACTGCACTTTTCGTGTGTTTCATTTTGAAGGCGTCTTTCAAATTGAGGAATTCTGGCGTCAGTCAACTTCCCACCTTTAATGCAGGATTTTGATGAAATTTCAACGTGATTAATATACAGGGCGTTTCATTCTGTTACCGCGTGCTGGGGACCGAGTTCTGGCGGATAAGGGAATCTCATCCCACCGCAGTGCGTCTGAACTAGTCGCCTTGTGCCCACTTGTATTACTGAAAACAGCGCCTTGCTTTGCTGTGTTTGCTTGGAAAGACCATATGCTCACTGACGCATTGGTCCCACAAATTCTCACGGGCGATATAGGTGTCCCCCGTGCTGAGAATTCGTGGGTGCATATTTACGTGTTTCATGATTGTCACAGTAAACAGAGATCACGTCCCTAAACAGCATTAACCGGTTGGGCTTTGTAGCGGAGACGTAATGTGTTTCCTGTGAGGCACGGACTGGGTCTTTACTTGGAGCCCTGTGGGATCACACGTGTCTGTTTTAACGCACTTGTTTGTGTCTGTTGCTTCACAGAATGAACCTGCAGCCTGCCGGAAGTTGTTGAGGCAGAAGAGTCCTGTGATTCCCCGCAACAGAAGGTCTAAATGCATTGACTCTTATATTCGTGGGTAACCTGTTCGCAAACACACTTCTGCAACAGACAAAATCTCGACTCCCTTTTTTGTTTTCTGCTTTTGAAACAAAAAAGGGATAGAGGGGAAAAGACAAGGATAGAAACTGGCAATTGTTGAGAAAAACAAATGAGACGCAATTCTGTCTTCTGCGAAACAAAAGAAAGCATTCAAAGGAAAGAAGACGTTGTTGAAGGAATTGTTACTGTTATATTGTTTTACAGAAGCAAGGAGATTGTTGACTGATACAGCCAGCTTTTCGGAATAGAAAAGAAATATTGTTAAGACAATTCAGAAGGCCTACAGATTGAATGAAATTAAACGGTTTGAAATAAAGGAGAAATACAAAGGCCGTGACTTAACAGATATTTCAACACAGCCAAATAATTTATGGTGTTCTAATTTATTTTTGTAATAGAAAAAATAAGAAATTTGTGAATTGTTGGATATTTGTGGGTACCTGGAAGCAAGTACTTAACAGAGGCAAGCTCAGGGTAAGGAGATAAAGCTGTGATATTAGTTTTAAAAACAAAATGGGTGCGGAAGTGTGGAGCACATGTGGACCGCGAGCCGTTGACGGCAGAGGTGTTAAGCTGAAGACTTTGTAAGGAGCTGTTCGTCCAGGAAGGACCTGTTCATAACTGCACAATGGAAGGGATAGCAGTAACAACGCATAGCCCATTTTTGCTGGAAGCCTTCTCTCCAGAGGTTCTTTGGCTCGTCGTCGTTGGCTTCGCAACGGCATTCGTCTTGGCTTTCGGCATCGGAGCCAACGATGTTGCCAATTCTTTCGGAACATCTGTGGGATCGAAAGTGCTTACTGTGAAGCAGGCCTGCTTCTTGGCAACAGTGTTCGAAATCGCAGGAGCTGTGCTAATTGGTGAGTACAGTCTGTTCTGTGTCGCAACCTGATGGTTCCCGCTCAGGGCGGTTTGTTTGAATCATTTGATGCTGTGTGTGTACTGTCAGAAGTCGCCTGTGTAAAACAATTTCACGTATAGGAACTAATTCTATTTGTAGCATTGAATGTGCGTTCCCCCTCACATTAAGGGAGAGACATAGACTGAGGGTGTTTGAGAACAGGGTGCTGAGGAGAATATTTGGACCGAAGAGGGATGAAGTGACAAGAAGGCGGAGGAAACTGCATAATGAGGGGCTTCATAACTTGTACCAACTCCATGGAGCTGAGTCCTTCTTCAGAAGCCACTAGTTGCTCAGCTACTCAAGAATTTCCCAACTAATTATGGAACCCGCGGGTTTGTTACCCGATTCACAAGAGCCCTCCATTGGTCCCTATCCTGAACCAGATGAATCCAGGCCATATCGCCACATCCAGATCTTTACGGGGGTGAAAGTGTTCAGCGGACGTCCCGCAATCCGACAGTGTGTTTAAGAAAATACCTGTACTCGAAACTGAACTAATTTCGATATGACGAAGTAGTTAAAGCTATCCCTATAACAGGCAGTGGAGTCCTGTAGGCGTGTGAGACGTCGAGGCTCCCACAATTTCTAGACAATCGGCTCACATATGGCGGTGAGGTTGGCAGCCTTACGCCCCGGGCCCCCGCCGCTTACGTCCAGGTACTCACTTCTCTTTGAGGCTGAGTCGACCCAAGGCCATAGTGCGGCTGGGAGGGGAGGTCAATTGAATATTTCAGTGTCGTCTCGTGAAGAAATGACCAAATTGAAACTTTCCCTCCGACAGTACGAGTATATTGGTACTTCTCACATCCATGCTCTGTTTCATGAAGACTACATTCTGAGCCAGATATGCGTCATGCGTTCGTTTTTGTATTTTGTTTATGTTCATTAAATAACATTCAGCTTGCTTTGTACGCACCGTTTGCTGCAGATTCTAATTAGCTTTATCTCTGCTGCAACTCGGCAAACAGCTGACACTGAAATTGCTTGCTAGTGGGGTGGGACTAAGTCCCTTGTACTGCGGCCACTTCTGGCCTATTGTACCAGCCCCAGATGATAGGTGAGGGTGATTGTGGAGCAGTTGGTGGAATGAAGATTGGCAGGAGAAACCGAAGTACTCGGAGAAAACCTGCCTCAGCGCCGCTTTGTCTACCATAAATCCCACTTGACCAGACCCGGGTTCGAACCCGGGCCGCCGCGGCGGGAAGCCAGTGACTAACCGCTTGAGCTATGGTGCGGCCCTGTATGTAACTATCTACACTGCCATTCAGTAGAGTAAAGCCTCCCAGAACCGGTTACTTCATGGAGCTGAGCCCTTCTTGAGAAGTCGCCAGTTGTGCAGCTACTCAACTTAAAGGTTCATTACTGTCACCCCTCCACAGGTCCCTATCCTGAGCCAGATGGATCTAGTCCGCACCACCCCATCCTATCACTGATCTATTTTAATATTGCCTACCCACCTACGACTTGGTCTTCCTAATGGACTCTTTACTTCTGGCTTTCCCACCAATATCCCATATGCATTCCTCATCGCTCCTTTTCATGCTACATGCCCTGCCCACCTCATCCTTCTTGAATTGATCATTCTAATTATACTTGGAGAAGAGTACAAGTTATGAAGCTCCTCATTATGCAGTTTTCTCCAACCTCCTGTCACTTCATCCCTCTTCGGTCCAAATATTCTCCTCAGCACCCTCAGTCCATGTTCCTCCCTTTCAGAGTCATCACTCGTCCAATCATTCTGCGCTGATATTTTAGGTACAAGCAGCCTCCATGACACAACACAGTAGTATACCGGGGGGGGGGGTTCAGTAAGCAGGTCACAGATTGACATAAAGCTTAAAACGTGTGATAGTCGAACCTGAAAAGAAGAACGTTTATTTCTCGAGATATCCTCTACTAACATCGATACACCTGTCCCATCGCTTTACCAGTGCGTGGACGCCTTACGGACTGTTGTCTCGGCCACTTCCTCACCCGGTCGGGCATCATCTGCGGCTTCCGAACGTCATTTAGAGAGTTTCTCGACCCAGTTGTGAACCGCTTCACGCGACAAGCACTTCCCACCATGAACAGCAAGCATTTCTTTATGAATATACTTTGCATTGAGTCCTTTTTCACACACACAAAAAAAGAACCGCGCTCTTCGGCGGTACACTGAAGCATGGTCGGCATTTTGACTACCGAAACCAGCCCCTGAATATGTGCATGCGCGTGTGCTGTCATGAAGCTGGACTGTGCTGCCACCTAGTGATACGCTTAGGTAAGCTATGTAAGCTATGTGTATTTACTGATTCCCTCGTGTACAGGGTACAGGGTGTTTCACTCCTTCCGTTATCAGGTATAAGTGGGGGCCGGCCGTTAGAAGGAGTCTGTCCCAATCCCTGGGCGCCGAAGGAAGTTCCTCTACTAGCGGGTCCAACTGAGTAGGATAATTCCTGCCACGTAATATACCTGATGAAGGAAGCGGATCCAGCTTCCGAAACGTGTGTTTTAAATGTACCCGAGAGGATGGGCAGGGCCCAACGTGTGTATAACGTAGAGGGCTCAAAGTACAGTTCTGCAACAATTTTGTTCGTTGCTTACAGCGCGTTGTGTGCTGTTCTGACACGAATGAGAACATTAACAGCCATTTCCGAGAGTTTGCGAGTGGTCGATACCGCTGAATTCAACTGTCGAAATAACAAAAGAAGGCGACCGCACAATTGAAACAGTAATGGAGTACACTGATGCACATGGAAGGGGGGAAAGCAGGGACAAATGACGGGTTTCGCAGCACTGGCTTGGTCAGAACGTTTCACATCGCAATGGCGCGATTTGTCCCCGGACATATTCGTTTCCGCCCTGATAATGGCACTAGTTAATGCTCGTGTAACATTCGGCAAGTTATAATTCCGCACTTTTGAGAATGTTTTGTTTGTATGTGGTACCGCAGGAGGGGTGAAGCCAGACGTGGAAGCGTTTATCTGCAGCAGTCAGATATTCGTAGTTGTGAACGTTGAACAATGGTAACCGCCTCTGAGTCTGGTTATGTGTACGCGTAGATAAGTGTGGCCGAATGGAGCCATAGAACATGTGCATGCAGGAAGCTGCACTTCTCATGCTTCTCAGTAAATGCTTTCTGTTGCGCAGCTGAACGCTAGTTTGGTTTCATGACACTGGACGAGGTGTCAGTATGGACTCCAAGGTTCGAGCCATTCTATGAGGAACCTGTCACTCGTGCTCAGAATTGCAAATTAAGTTACCCACCAGCTTTCCCGCCCATGCTGTGACTGATGGCTTGTCTGTTGCAGGGTACAAGGTGTCGGACACGATGAGGAAAGGCATCTTGGATGTCTCCCTATATGAGGGAACAGAGAAGGAACTTATGTTAGGCTGCCTGGCCTCTTTGGGTGAGTTCTTCTGGAACAAGTGCCTGTGTTTTCATACTTCTCAGCCGTCACTGAAAGGATTCTGAAAGCGTGTCCTTCATTGCAGTGGGCAGTGCAATATGGCTGATGGTTGCCACTTTCTTCAAGCTGCCAATTTCTGGCACCCACAGTATTGTTGGCGCTACTGTTGGCTTCTCGTTGGTCTGTCGTGGAACTGAAGGCCTCCATTGGACAACCCTAGGGACTATAGGTATGTACTAATAAGGCACTTGCTCCTTTTATGATTTATGGCGTCATCTGTTACAGAGCTGGGAGCTGCAGAGCGCATCTGTGGCGGAACAAGGGGGGATGAGGTGGGCAGTAAGTGTAGCAGGAATGGGAGCTCGCAGAGATGCGTACAGAATGGTCTAAAACAAGATGCTCTATCGCCACTGCCTTTCAACTTTGCTGTAGAATATGAAATTAGGAAGGCCTAGGTGGACCGAAATTAAACGGGACACATCAGCTGTTAGTCCATGCTGATGATGTGAATCTGCTGGATGATAATATACGTAGCATAAAGAAAAAAACACGGACTTTACTTGACGTTAGTAAGGAGGTTGGTCTAGAAGTAAACACAGAGAAAACTAAGTATGTGCTGTTGTCGTCACCAAAATGCAGGGCAAAATCATGACATAAAGATAGGAAACAGATGTTTTGAAAATTGGCACAGTTCAGATATTTTAGAACGACTATAACAAATCAAAACCTGATTGAGGAGGAAATTAAGAGGAGACTGAACTCGGGTAATGCTTGCTGCCATTCAGTCCAGAACCTTTTGTCTTCTCGTCTGCTGTCCAAAAGCACAGAAATTAGAATATACAAAACTGTAATTTTGTCTATGGTTATGTATGGTTGTGAAACTTGGTCCCTGACATTAAGAGAACAGGGTGTTGAGAATATTTGGACCGAAGAGCGATGAAGTGACAGGATGTTGGGGAAAACTGCATAATGTGGAGCTTCATAACTTGTACTCTTCTCCAAGTATAATTAGAATGATCAAGTCAAGGAGGACGAGATGGGCAGGGCATGTAACACAAATGGGGCGAAGAGTACTGCATATAGGATATTGATGGGAAATCCAGAAGGAAAGAGACCACTAGGAAGACGAAGACGTAGGTGGACGAACAATATTAAAATGACTCTTAGAGAGATAGGATGGGGTGGTAGTGACTGGATTGGTCTGGCTGAGGAGGGCTCCTCTGAACAGGGCAATGAACCTTCGGGTTCTGTAAAATGTTGGGAAGTTCTTGAGTAGCTGTACAACTGTCGGCTTCTCAAGAAGGGCGTGAGGGCGTGAAGTGGCGCCCGATAGGGGCAAGGAGACTCAGCTCCTCAGGAAGGGCATGTGATGTGCCCAAGTTATCGCATTGATTGAATAAAAACGTTGCGTTTGAGGGCCGCTGAGCTCCACTGAGGCGCGGTTTTTGTTTCTGGAGCTATGGAATGACGCGCTGTTTTACTTGGACCACAGAAGGCCATGGTAATGAAGGCTAATCCTGCGATCAGTCAGAAGAGCGGTTCGAGACAACAGCTGGTGGAGTCAGATCAGTTAACTTGCTTTACTACCAATGAATGTGGAGGCCAGAGTAGGCTACGGGGCTGTGCGACCGACAAGAGCATGAGGTGTTTTCTCCTCACAGCGTCCAAACCAGCTTTGTGACACACCTGGACTCGAATGGGTGCCGGCGGGGGATGCGTACCCCAGACGTGCTCATGGAGTGCTGCTTAGTTGAGCAAAAGGACAACTTCTGTGTGCGCGCAGTACCATGACGTGGCCAGGACGCCTGTGCCCTTCCCCGACAGGCTACTCCGTGTGCTATGGTATCCACTCTACAGCCGCCACATTTCAATTTTGTAATCCTGCACACAGTCGGTAGGACTCCTGCACAAATAGAGAAGCACACGTAGACGTCCATGCCTCGAGGGAGACTGGAACCCACGACCTCAGTGTTTGAGTGGACGAAGAGAGTTCCCCGACCGGCTCCGGTGTACATACACATGTGAGAAATGCAAACAAAGGATTTTGTTTCCGTAAGGTTGCCTGCAAAAGGCGTGACGTGCGCATATGCACTCCGGTTCGTTATTCGTGGCGGGCGCCCTGCCGTTCGTGTTTCTATCCGTGATAGGCACGGAACTGGCGAACGCGTGAGTACGGGGAGGCCTGTTGTGCGACTGAAAGGCGTTCCATGTAGCCTAGGTCCTGGGTTTGCTGGCTGTAATCGTGGAAATGCCCACGTGATTGGACTTCCGTTTTCTGTCTCGCGTAACCTTCAAGCTAAAAAGGTGAAGCTATCTCTGTAACAGGCCGCGGAGGCCCTTAGGGATGTGAATCGTGAGGTTCCCACGTTTTATAGACAGTCAGCTCACAGATGGCGGTGAGGTTGTGAGCCTTACGGGCAGACCGCCCTTTACCCCCCAGCAGGAAGATTTCTGTCAGGCTGAGTCGACCCCAGGGTCACAGTTCGCCTGGAAGGGTTAAGTCAATGGCAAAGTTCCAATGACCTGCTCGGGAATCGAACTACGACCTTCCGGCTTGTAGCATAGAGCCTCAACCAACTGCGCTACCGCGTGCCCTGTGTTCAAGTTAGACGTCCTTTACGAGGTGAAGAAATCTGCAAACTTTCCCATATACGGTTAAGCCTGGGTGCATTACTTTGGAACGAAGTGGATGGTCCGGAGCTCAATACCAGACAAGAGTAAAATCCGTTTTCGACAAAACCGACATTCCGCGTTGGGCCCCTCTTCTCCCCCCCCCCACACCCAGCGCGCTTACCGTTACGTAGCTGCACAGTTTTGTTTGCGGGGATGGTCTCCAGCCCTTTTATTTTTTTGGGAGGGGGGGTTCCGAAATGTTCGTATTCCCCAGACAGCGACGTTGAATGGAACACGTGCAACCTTTGGGGCCCACGACCGCCACTTGGCGTCAGGGAGGGGGTCTCGCACATTTCTGTCTGGCTGAATTTTGGGGGAGCGTGGAAGTGATCGTGGCCTATTTTAAAGCATGCCGGCATTCTTTGCCTTGACTTGATAGCTCCAGGATGGACAATGGGCCCTTCTGAGATTTCGGCCGACTCCACCCCCCCCTCCCCCCCGCACTGTTCTCACCGCACTCAGGCAGTGAATATGAAGATTACCACTATCTCAGATGTGACGCCATGTAGTCTGGTAAAGAGAAGGTTCCAATTAATCTGCCTCCGTATTCAGATTAGAGGGACTTCTGCTTCGAAGACGAAGTCAGTATCTTTCTCCGAAACGTCGGCACCAGTCTGCCGAACTACACGGCGTTAAGACCCAGACTCAGGCTGTATGTTCTTCCGAAATGTTCGTACTTGTCTACCAAGTTACACTGCGTCACATTCGAGAAGGTGGTAATGTTTCGATTGTTCGCACCCAGACACAGGTTAACTAATTTGGTAAGCTGAAATGTGAGCTATCGGAAAGAGGCCGTGGCCTACTTTATGGTGCCCGCAGACACCCTGACCGTGACTACTGGTTTTGAAGTCTGATAAATTTAGACAGCACCGCCTCCAGACCTGACGGCACAGCGTGGGGCTGAGAGGCGCTTAGCGTGTGCTGTGGCTCCCATGTTGCGTTTTGTAACGAGTCGCGGCGCTTTGTAGTCCGGTACGTCGTTACCAACGTTTCGGAGGAACATGCCGCTTCCATCTTCAGGGCAGGAAGATCGTCGTGGAAGCTTGTGGTACGAACAGGGAGGATGGGACCTGATCAACGGGGCGTATTATACTCATCGTTGGCGTGTTCGTTGTCTGAAGCTGACCGTCACGGAAACTAGAAATTTGGCGACTGTCAGCTTCTCAGGAGAACGCGCAGTGAATTCAGTGCAGCCCACTGATTGAAATGAGTATTTAGGGCGCGTATGGGTTATAGCAGGCCCTTAGCTACTGTGCTTCACCCAGCCTTCCCGCATTTGCAGCTATAACCACTGTCCCGCTGCGCCTTGCCGCGCATGTGCGCGAGCAACCCAGAGGCGCGGTCGGTACGTGACGCACGTCCGCGCGTCACGCGCAAATTGTCCCACCCCCATTGGCCCGTGGCCACGCGAGACACTCGTGCTGAAGCCTCGTGTCTCGTGACGTCATTGCGGCTAGTGGCCAACGGAAGGTACCCCTTCCGCCCCTTCTTGGACAGAGTGTAGGGGCTCTCGTCCACTGGAACCGGAAACATGCGAACACCTGCGATGTGGGATTCGTCCGAAGACGCACGAAAACGACCGAACGATCCGAAGCAGCTAGATCAAATTGGACCGCGTCCATTGGCACGGACACTGTTCGTCAGTTGACGTGTGTAGACTTGCGATCCGCGAAGGATCCAGATTAGTTTGGATTTTCGGACGAACAGCTGCGCTGCTGTGCAGTGAATGTCGAGAGTTAGTTCTCCTGGTTCAAGAAAGGTACTTATGGGACGATAAGGGCGCCATTTTCGAGTTGTTCAGCCAAGTTGGTGTGACCAAAGATACCGCTATCACTCTGCTTTCCATAGGCTCCCATGTCGATACACATGAACATGTAGTTGAAGAACGTACTGCCAGAATATTGTGGGCATTTAATTCGAATATGCTTTCCGTCTATGCCTCCCACACAATTTGGAAATATCCATTTGTAACAGACCAGAACAGTGCTGCTGTGTATTATAGTAATTTCTATCCTTTGTAGAAACGGTGGTTTGTATGTAGTCAATAAAAAGCAAGAACATCGATGTAATATTTTTTTCTCAAATTCTAATCAAATCCTTAACTTAAAGAGGCGTTCTTCAGGTGCAGTAGTTACTTGGAAGTTACTGCACTTCTTCAACTGATGGACTTTGCTTTTTTTTATTGCTAGTGGGGTGGAACTAAGTCCCTTGTACTGCGGCTACTTCTGGTCTATTGTACCAGCCCCAGATGATAGGTGAGGGTGATTGTGGAGCAATTGGTGGAATGAAGATTGGCAGGGGAAACCGAAGTACTAATATGTATTCAAATGTATCTTGCTTCATGCGAAAATAACCAGAATACTGTGACTCGTCCTCTTGTAAATCACTTCATATTTGAGAAAATTCACCAAACTTTTGTCTTTTTGATAAAATTTCACTAATCCAGTCTTTTCTCCTTTTCTGTGCTCGTCGCCTAGCCAGTAAAGGATTATCTAACGCGTGCATATTACATAGATCTTCAGACAGCGCCATGACAGAACGCGAATGGCTTCGGCCGAACACGCAGCCGAAGGACGTGCAGGGAACACACGAATTCGGGCGGATCCCAGTTCGAAGGTTTCGCTTCCGTTGGACGACTGGCGTGGCGAGGCCCCAACAGCTGCTCGTGCGTACCCTGTAAGGCGGGTGACCTGTTTCACAGTGGATATTGTCCCCGTGCTTAATTATGCTGGACGCCAGGAAGACGTATGGAAGGACTGGCGGTATAGCTCCGCGTATTCTTAACGTCAGCATCAGATGCAATCCCCTCTCCTCCGGAAGGTAGATGGGCCCCTCGGACTGGTCCAGGTGCTGTAGAGAAGAGGAAAATGCGTTCTCCTTGCCGGGAATCGAGTCCCGATTCCTTGGCTGTCCAGCTGAATTCGTGAAGTGACCGGGCAACTTGCTCTCAGTTCGGCTCCCTGTTGTGTAGACCCTCTTAATGCGGTACTTACTGCACGCTTCCGAGCCACGTATCTCTGCCTTCACATGCTTTTCGCGAGAATGACGGGCGCGTTGAGCGGCGAATTGTCCCAGTTAGTAGCGGTTTGAGCCCTTCTCAGAATGCAGTCTCGTTAAATTGCATGCCGGAAAATCGGATGATGCTGTCGCTAGTAGAGGCGCTCAGACGTTCCTGTTTCTAAGCAACGCGTTCTGATTGGCTGTTGGGTGCCTTACGTACTGTCTCGAGATCAGCGGCGTCGGAATTTTGTTGTTGCCAGACGGATTTATTGCGCAGGTCCTTGTCAGCGGTCTCGACAGCTGGCATACCCACTGCTGCTTCTGTTGGTGGGAACGTAAAACCCTTAGGTTCTTTTTTGTATGGCTGTGAAACTGTCTCTGACATATAAGCTGAGGGTGCTGAGGGGAACATCTGGACTTCGGGGGTTGGAGAGAACTTCATAACTTGCTCTCCACGCAAGATATTAGTGTCATCAAATGAAATATGTAATGGGCAGGGTGTTGAACGTATGGAGGAGAGGCGATTTTGGAAACCTGATGGGGATAGATAGATAGGAGAACCTAGGCATAGGTGGGAGAATAACATTAACATGAATCTTGAAGAATTAGAGGCTGAGGGTGTGGTGTGGAGACAGGACTGAACCTCTGGATTCCATAGAACGCTGGGAATATCTTGGCTAGATGAGCGCGTGTTAGCTTCTCAAGAAGGACTGGACAGTTCTGTCAGTCGCACTGTGTCCGGCGCCATTATGTTGCGTAGTTCCGGTAGCCGTTCTGACCTTGTGTCTCCTTCATGAAGTTGAATCCGTTGATAGCTGCTCCGGTACTCGATACATTCCCAGCATTTTGTGGAACTCGAAAGTTCAGTACCGTGTTCACAAGAGCCCACCACGGTCCCATCATCAGCCAGATGAATCCAGTCCACACTCATCCCATTTACTTAAGACCCAAATTAATATTGCCCTCTCGTCGAAGCCTTCATACCATTCTCCTTCCCACACGTTTTCTTCAATGTGTGCTGCATGTCCAGTCCATCCCATCCTTGATTTTATCGTCTCAATTTTTGGTGAAGAGTACAAACTGCCAAACCCCTCACTATGCAGTTTTCCCCATACTTCTTTCACTTCGTCCCTCCCCTCGGCACCCCCAGTCTCTGTGTTTTTCCCTAAACGTCAGACCAAGCGCCATGGGCGCCTCCAGTTGTCCCACGCTTCTGATTGATCCGTTTGATGTTCCTGTCAGCATATCTTCCGGCCTGTGTGCCTGTCACTTCACATGCTAGGGGCACGGATGGTGCGCATGTTGTGTGTGACAGCGTCTGGGCCACTGCCCATGAAAGACCAACCCAGCCTGCGACACCAAACTAACATTCCTAGAGACACCTTGTTATGTTCAATTATATTTTTGAATGACAGCGTTTAATATTCGCGAATATTCCGTTTTAAAACGCGGGAAGTACATGTGATGTCTGATTTCAAGCCGTAGTTCGCCGTCATGACGCGGCAACTTCTCGTACCGCAGTGTTGCGCGGGAAGTCTTGGTCCAGTGGTTGGGCGATCACAGTTAATTTGCGTTTCCTCCGCTTTGTTATGTGACATTACATACCGTACTACCAGGGGTGGACGAAACGCAGTGCTCTCTCAGAGATCTGCTGTGGAGAAGTGCGACATTGTTTCGCAACTTTATGTAAGTAGCTGAACTGCACAGCGTCGAATGGTAGGGTGACAGGCGGATTGGAGAGAATTCTGAACCAAGCAATCGTGGCCCAGTCCGAGGTACTGGCATACATGAAAGGACTGAGAAATACCACGGAAAGCTTTGTGAATAGCCGGTTTCCCTGCCAAGATTCGAACAGGACATCTCTAGAATACAAGTCTTAATGCATTATCACTACACCCAGTGCAGTCAGCCTAAGTATGAAAGCACTTGTGTGCTGCCTATGGCATGCTGTTCATGAAGTAGAAGACAAGACACTGGCAGGACAGGACAGGATATGACATGACATGACACAGTATGACATGAAATGGCAGGACAGGACAAGATATGACATGACAGCATAGATAACAGAATCATCATTCCCCCCTCCTCTCATATATCATTAATATTGTATCGTACATATATTCACATTTGCTATTCCTTGAGTTTGTGTTTTGAGTTGCAAAGCCTGTTATTGCAAACAGTGAGATACATGCACAGCCTAAGGGAACAGTGCTTGCAGCTGTGATGTGGCGGCCGGTCTGCTAGACTGCACAGTGCTGTGGCCCAGAAGATGCAATATACAGGGTGTCCCAGGAGGAATGTGCCAAACTCCGGGAGGGTGTTCCTTATGTTATTGTATGCCGATATAACCCAAAACACCTATGTCCAAAGTTGAACGGTTACGGAGATAATGGCCCGAGAAAAGTGTGGTCTTCTGGCGAGTTCACGCACTGTACCTGTCAGCTGGCATGTCTTATGTACGTTTGTCCTTGAGTGTGGTGATGGCAGCTCACATTAGCCCCATACACTCGCATACCAGAACTCGCAGTCAGCAATGTTACGTCAGCGCTTGCCATTCATGTGTCATGTATAGTGCTTGGAAACCTAAGGACAATTATGACATGGCGAGCGAGTATTTTGTAGTTCAATTTAATGGCTTCATGTCACTCACAAGTTAGTTTGATGTTACGTACATTATTAACATTACAGAAACCACATATTCCTGCCAGTTTTAATATGTATTTTGTAATCAACAAGAGTGTAACACCGGTCAAAGTTTCACACTTCTCTGGCCATTATCTCTGTAACCGTTCAACTTTGGACATAGGTGTTTTGGGTTATATCGGCATGCTTCAACATAAGGAACACCCTCCCGAAGTTTTGCACATTCCTCCTGGGACACCCTGTATATAAACTGCTGATTCAAGATTAAAAAAAAGGGGATTTAGGATGAAAGTTTCTGTCCGCAACAGCAAACCAGTGACGTCGTCCTAATCAACCTCTACCCGGGACCTCACTTCCCATCTTTTGGGGCCCTGAAAGGGCCGTTATTTTCCACATTTCTTAGTTCAGATTTCCCTTACTGGGCCATTTTTTTTGTCTCTTTTTCTTTTTCACACAATTCAGTTTTCTCTTGAAAGCAGCAGTGGATGCCTGGACAGGTCTGTTCTCTCCCAGTATTTCTCACCTTTGATGATAAACCATTGTTCCCTGTAAAAACGTCCCTGCTTTTTTGTCCATTTTCCCCCCCCCCCCCCTTNGGATTGCGATCCTTCCTTAGCCTCTCCCTGTAACTTCCCCTTCATGACCAAGCCTATTTCTGAACGTACTGCACTTCAGCCCTGCGGATGGAGGAGGCGCCGTTCTTCTGAATATTGCTATTTGCTGCAACACAGTGGTGAAAAGCCCAAAATTATGTTGCACGTGCATGCGTGTGTTTGCATGCATACATGTGTGGTTGATGAATACAAAACATGAACTGATGTCCCCGATGACTGTTCTAAACATATTTATTGTTTCAGTGGGATCGTGGTTCATTTCACCCGTCCTCTCCGGCCTGATGTCCGTGGTGCTCTTCAAGCTCATCCGCCATTTCATACTTTTCACACCGCACCCCCTGGTGCCTGGCCTACGAGCCCTACCCTTCTTCTACGGGATAACTATTCTTGTCAATGTCTTCTCCATTGTCCACAATGGGCCCAAATGTAAGTGTGACTATAATATGAACGCTTTCACTGACTTGCATTCACATGTCAGCCAGGCTAGAATGGTTTTGAAAGAAAAGTGTGTTGAAAACCCATAACTTGTAATCCTTGAGCTGTGGCGTATAAAGATTTTGCAGCTCATGATTTTGCTGGAGGAGAAAGGAAACATTTAACTGAGTTTACTGTATATAGGCTAGGTTTAGTGCAATGGCCTGATCAGAAGATGCACCCAGAGCCCCCTGTTCCATGTTCCACCTCCTGTGTGACATCTTTCCTAACCCGTTGTTCCCGTGTTCATCTCAATCTTCCTCCTCATGTTTCTCCCATTCTGTTTCATGTTTGAAACCTTCGGAATTATGTCTTCTGTTGAAATGGGTCCATCCTGCCTTGTTCTGCTGTGAACATATCAAGATATACACTATACACCGAGAGATGTTATGAAACACATTTATACCCTTACCAGTATGTAGCCACAGCTGGTGAGGCGACGCATAAATATTGCAGCAGTTTGCGGATATGATCCAGATCTTTATTGCCCATCCCCTTTATAAGAGTGAACTAATTTCTTAATTTGAGTGCCATTGAAGTCCCAAAGGAAAGCAAGCATAGTATTCCAGGCAAAGAATGGAAACTTCTGCTTCTTTGTTATGAATCATATTTGCAGTTGGTGGAGAGTATATTCAGGTGAGGGTTCATATGTTGAAGTTTGTGGGTGTCCTCTAATTACGCTTTGCTTTGTTGCAGTGCTGTACTTTGACTACATTCCATGGTGGGGGGCACTGCTTATCAGTATAGCTGTGGGATTAATCTCCATGCTGCTTGTCCAGTTTCTCCTGGTGCCATATGAGAAGAAGCGAGTCGTTGGTGAGTTCTCTTGCATGCAGACAACAGAGTTGCTACTCTTCTGTGATGAGGAGGGGCCACCTTGCAAACAAACAACTCGTACATTGAGTGTTCTTGTCACTTCGTCATGTGACAGTATGTTTGTTTTAGCTTTGAAACAGAAAGTGGAAATGTAACAGGGTGAAAAGCACATGAGAAAGGGATATCTGTAAGGTTTCCTTGTGCTGCTGGCTAGTTTGTGTAGCTGAAACATACCATTCCCCATGCATGCAGGATAACGGGAAGTTAAATGTACTAAGATTACAGCCTGTTAAACAAAGAAGTTTTTGGTAATGGTCCCCCATGCTTTATCATATAACCTCATTCATCATTCCTCGAAGTGGTAATGTGTTATCTCCGGATCTGATACACTTTTATTAGGTGAAAGGAATTAATGCAAGGACTATTCTTAAAGCAACCTTCATTCATTTTAGGGAGCTAATGTAGAAACGGGGGAAAGCTCACACATGTTAGGTAGAAGCATCACATGACTTATTAACTTGTGAATCATCACATACCTGGTCACCAAGTGTTTGTTCTTGTCTCAGCAGATGCTATTGATAATCCTGCCAGCTGTGAAATTTGCACTGTTTTCCACTTCTTCAAGCTAAAAACATGTGCCCTGCTTTATGGCCAAAGTGCAATGAGTGAAGGAACCGCAAGACTGTGCAGGATGTTCAAAGATTGGCAAACAAATGTTCACGATGATAAGCGAAGTGGTCGGCCATCTGTAGTGAGTGATGATCTTGTTCAAAGTGAAAGATGGTGCTCCACAATTTCAGAACTTTTGTCTGAATTTCCACAAATTTCATGCACTGCTCTGTGCGAGATTATCACTGTTAGGCTGGGCTATCGTCACGAATGTTGCCAAAATGGATTCTGAAAATGCCCACTGGTGCACACAAAATGCTGAGAATGGCTTCGGCCGTGACTTTGTTAGAGTGATACCACAAAGATGGCAACAAATTTCTCGATCACACTGTATGAGTAACAGGCGCTAAAAAAGTTTAAACGGACGTCTGCCTGTCAGAAAGCTGATGGGAGCTGTTTGCTGGGACAGGAAGGGATTGCTGATGGTGGAATATTGCAACAGGGGACCGCAGTAACATAAGTGTATTGAGAGACACTAGAAAAACTGTGCACTGCCATTCAGAACAAAAGACATGGAGTGCCGACATCCATTGTAGCACTCCATGCCTGTGCATGTCAGCATACAGCTGCTCATGCTTCAGCACTGCTGGGGCATTTTGGCTGGGAGTTGTTTGACCACTTCCCCCTTACAGCCCTGATCTCATGCCGAGCAACTACCGCCTGTTTACATACCTGAACAACTGGCGGGGATCACAGCGCTTCAACAATAATGAGGAGTTGATGGAAGGTGTCAGAACATGGCTGAGCTCACAGGCATACAGAAACTTATTTGCCAGTGTGACAAGTGCGTCAGTTCTGGCGGTGATTATGTTGAGAAGTGGCTTAATTGTGTACATTTTTTATATATTACTCTTTTTTTCTCATTTCTTGTGCTGTTAACAGCTCACCGGTGGTTACTTTCTGAATAGCCCTGGTACTTTGAAACATGGTAGGTGTATGTACCACATGCTTTAAGATGCATGAAGTCTACATTTTGCCCACACAAAGTATGAATTTTATTTCTTATGGTTCTCAGAATGACCTCATATTTCTAAACAGTTATTTGTTTGAGCTTTGTAATGGAGGTTAATCATATTTTTTGTGAGGCAGGAACTCAGGGTGTTGCTGCTGTCTGCAGTGGAGCTGAGCACGATATTAAGGCCCCCTCATATGCAGAATGTGTGCTACTTGTAATAATTGCAGCATCGTGATAACTTATGTTGCAGAACTCATCAGGAAACAAAAGGGGCGAGGCGTCAGTTTTTCATTCGGTGATTCGACAGGTAATGTCAGATAGAAAAGTAATTTTAGTATTTAGCCCATTATTTTCAGTTTTCTAAATAAAATATGTATTGAAACAAAAATGTGTCAGAAAACTTAGAGATATTTATGATTGAGACTTGAATTGAACATCTCTTATTTATCTCTGAGGCTGCAAAACTTGAGTTTAAATGTTTTGAACCCATAGTACGAATTGGAAACATCATGTTTACAGGATGGGTGATAATTCTGCTAGTCACTGTGCATATAAAAAGCGTAATTTGACTGAATGTGATTCTTTCATAAATATTAATGTATTTAACTAAACATGGATTCAGTATTTGTTTTTAGTACTCTAGGAAATTTGTCGAAATTATATCAGTTGAGTTTTTGTGAATTCAGTGTGGGCGTTGACCTTATGCACTGACCACCCTTACCCCTGAAATATTCCTGGTACTCATTTCTGTTAGCGGTTGAGCCAATCCCAGGGTCATAGTTTGGCTGGGCGGATTAGGTCAATTGAAAAATCCAGCGACTTCATTGGGAGTCGAACCTGTGACCTTCCAACTAGTAGCATAGTGTCTCAACTAACACTGCTACCATGTGTGCCCCTTATTATCGAGCATTGTTTGTATGTCAGTATGATCTGTATAGTGACTGATATGAGTCATTACTCATCCTGAGATGGTGGTTGAGCTTGAAAGTCTTGTATGGAATGTGGAAGTGTCAGAGTACAAGCTTTTAAAATCACTTGTTCGCAGAACTTGCAGGCTCTGTTGTCAGGTCACTTAGAAATTTGTTGGTAATAGTTCCAGTATTTTCTTTAGTTATTTATTTTGATGGCTTACGTGCTTCAGCGTTTCCGGCCTTCATTTGGTGTCAGTTTAACTAATCATTTTATATGAATAGAGGAAGTTTTAAAGACAGTATAATAAGACATTTGGTGTGGTAAAATGGAACTCATACAGTTGGTAATTAAACTGCTGCTGTTGAGTCCCATGGATCAAGTGATCCAAAAAATAAGTTTTGATGCTAAGTAGATCCTCTTGTACCTTTAGCCTGCACTTTCTCCATTGAGTATAGGGCAGTTGCATTTCGGACATTTCTGTGAATAAGTATGAACTGAATTCCTCAGTCAGAGAACCGACAGTGTAGATAACAACATGTGGTGTTAGTCTTTTGCATATCTTGCTTCTTGCTTTGAACAAGTGCAGTCAGTTTCAAATTACAGAACTTCAAAAATGTAGAAATCTCGTTTTCATTAACACTAATGTGGTAATTAAGTGTTATATCTTGCATAATCATTGCCCTAGTCTCTAGCAGTAATAGTTGCATAATTTTTACTTCGCTTTGTTGAATGAAGTAAACTTCTGCACTGGCAGTGAGTGTATTGTGCAGTGTAGCTACTGTATTCGTGTTTTTAAAGTAACGTAATCTCAAAGGCATTATGTTTGTCTGTAGCTGCATTAATGTGTGAGCAATTTCAAAAAATAAATTAATTTTGTTTCTATTTGAGATTTAGTAATTAAAACATTCTCCTTAATTTTATTAGCAACAATCAGAAATGACAGTAATTTTCTCTTCAGTTGTAATATAGTTTGTAATTTGAATTTCTCTGAAATAATTGCATTTGTCATCTGCATTGATAATTACAGTAATATGTTGTTTTTTAGTAATTATAATTTTGAATTTCTTTGTAGTAGTAGCCGTTTTGTATTTTGATATTGGTTATTTCTCAACAAATGAACTGAAAGCAGATTCCTGATACATTGTTTCTAGTTTTTAACTGCAGTCTCTAAAGAAACCAGTGCAATATACCTCACTATGCATTGTTAAATCGCTTGTTTTTTTAGTGTTAATGTACAGATGAAACCGAACTATCCCTGACAGATGCAGCACTGGCAGTTGATCATATGGGTTAACCACCCATCATTGTTCTAAATTAGAATATGATGATAAGCCATCAATTAGTTACATTAAATTTATGATTAAGGTTAATGTCTAACGTTAATCATATGTTATGACCCAAAACAGAATGCACAGTGTGAAGATGGTCCTGTAAGTTTGTGATCCTGGGTGGTTACCAGTTTTACAGTATATTTTAATGTACTCATTTTATGTTTTTACTTTACTGTTATGGTATTTAATGCCATTCAGTAAGGCTGATTATGAAAAAGTAAGATATAAAATGAAACTGAATACAGGGGTTACATCTTTTTATTAGTATCCAACATTGAAAGCTAACTGACAATTTTAAATCATATTCCCACAGAAAAGTTTGAAGTATTTGGTTGAAATGTAGGAGAACATGTGACTGCAGTGACAGTGAAGGTTGCTGCCTTCTGGCGTTTGTTACCCGGTACTCTGGTACATATGTACCGGCATTTGGAGGAACTTGTTGACTACATGGTAGAAGTGTGGTAGGTAGGTGTTAGCAGCTTCTGCCCGAAGGTGGAGGCAGCAGGTTGCTGTGACGTTAGTAACTAGACAAAGTGTGTACATTAGCCTTGCGTGGGGGTAGTTTTGGAAGGCATTAGAAGATGTGCAGTGTCTGTGTGTAATGTGTGTGGTGTTTTAATGCAGAATCTTCACGGGACCCAAGCCCCAAGACTTCACGAGCCATTTCAACAGATGATATCAAGAAGCCACTGCCAAGTATCACTGAGACGAGCGAACTGGACAAACAAGTGTTGACACTGACCGACAACAATGAGATGGTGCAGTTCCCTCCTGTTGTCTCGACAAATGGGACCAATAAGGCTGCCAGCCCCCACACATATTGCTTCCCTGTCGCACAGATGAACAGAGCCACGACAAAATCAAATGGCTATCTGCTGGCTGAAACAGCCCTCACTTCCACAAAGAACAAGGTAGGCAGGCATCTGGCTGTGGTACCAGTTCACTTGAAATGCTTGTTATTAAAATTTGTCACATTTTCCTAGCATCAGACAGTGTTGAGATCAAATGGTTAGAGCACTCCTGCTCCATATTCTATTAGGCGAAGTTATATATTGTGTAATTTGTTTACTATTGCAATTACAGTCACTCATATATAACGTCTTTCATGCGATGCCGCCTGGCTAGTCTGTCATATTCTGCTCCTTAGCTGAGCTGGTTTCTTCTGTTCTGCTCCCTTCGCCTCTGTTCTGTTTGGTCTCTTATATTCTACTGTCAGACATGCTAGAAGACTCCTTGTTTAAGTGCTCTGTTTTGATGTGTAGCGAGTGTATTCATTACCAGCCTGTTGTCCTGGCCACATGTTTTAACAAGCCGTTGGGTAGTAATGGACAGACACTCTGACTCAGATATTCTGGCTTTTAGGGAGCACACCACATTATCATTTGGGATGTGATGATGTGTCAGAGGACTGTGCTGCCTCCCAGTTGAGGTTCACTTGCCCATTCTTCTAGGCTTGCTTAGCTTACCCTTTGACACAGAAGATGTAGGTATGAACTTCTACCAGATCGCATGGTGTGACATCTCAGCAGATAATATCCTTCACAATTACTCCTCTGTGAATCTCGGGTCCGATTCAGGTTTTACGTAGTTTTTGTCATCCCAGAAGGTGAATGGCAGGATGGCACTTGTGCTGTTAAGTAGGCCGTGACTGCTCCTCCACTGCACATCCTTTCCATCTAGTTCAGCATTTGCTAGTCATCCTGCCTATCCATCGACACTGTGTTATGTGAGTTATCGAGAACACGTGAGAAAGATAACCTGACGCAAGATGTTACTTTTGTGTTGTAAGATTCCAGGCTCTTACAGCTGTATAAATGAAAATATTCTCGTTGGGAGTGCAACATCATGTAGTTTGGTAGGTAGGTGCCAACATTTTGGAGGAACCTATTTTTTTATCTTTCCTGTTGAAAAAAAAACTATTTGCAGGCCACTGATTATCCCATTGGTTTTTGTACTGAGCAAGTTGGCATAACATCAGTGCTTTAAACTTGTATTGAAGAGTGCTGTATTGAAATCTTGGATGGGATGCCTGCTATCTGACTGAGATATGTTGTGGTTTTCCTCAGTCCCTCCAGGCAGATGCTTGGATAGGAACTTGATTCCAAATCATTTTGAATTTGCTGTTCCCCAGTTATCACATTACTTGATATTGCACAGTCTGAGATAACGCAGTGTCATAAAGAAATGTGGGGGTCTCAGCTCTACGTTACATACCATTTTTTCCTCCCCCCATGCAGCTCTTGTTTACCCTGATGATGGAAGCAGCAGGTTCATAAAAAATGAAAGTACCTCTCTGCCAGAAGACTGTAATCTTAATAGTTGTATTTGTTTTTCAGGAGACTGCTTCTCATGTTGATGCTGAGAATCTCATAACGTCCATGCCTGGAAATGGCACCTTGCAGATTATGGGCCAGCCGCAGCCCCCACAGAAACAGCAGTCTTCACAGCACCTTCTTCCTGAACCTCTGCGACCAGGAAGTGGTCAAGTCACTCCCGTGTTTGGTAAGACATCTTGGGGTTCACCACGTTTTTGGCACCTTCATTTATGTTTATATCCTGGGTACAGAAAACTGTTTATACAGATTAAATCAACTGCTTTATTCCGGAAGCAGCAAGAATACAGGTATGTGAACGCTGAAGTAATGGGACTCGAGGATCTGAACTTTGAATTTGATGCCAGCGTTTCACTGCATGATCTGAGGATGTAGCTGCTGTTGTGATACCAACGAGGATGCTGTAACCCCCTACCAGTGGTTTTAAACACTCCTGAATGGTTTGACATTTCATGTCCTAGACAACGGTTTCTTGTGAAAGATGTTATTAATGCAGTATGTGGTGATGGCACAGCATCCTCTGTTGTGTGTGTGCGCCATGTCGAGCCCAATGAATCAAAATACTCAAATCTCTCTTATTTTGTTATTAATGTAATTTTAATTAATGACTTTTTTAAATTTGGAAAGTATGTGTTAATGTTCAGTGAATATAGTGTAGTACTGTCTAAATGCAGGAACCTGGAAGTCGTGTGTCACAGATGCTTACATGAAAGTTGGTGTACCTTTCTGCCTGTTCAGAGAGAAAAGTTTAAAAAAAGCACCTGTAAGCTTTATGTTTACATAAGTAACTCTGGAACCACTCACTGGATCTTTATGAAATTGGGTGTTGGGTGCTGTGCTAGAAGTTGTTAATGGTTTCGGGTTCCCCCCCCCCCTCCTCTTCATTTTGGTAATGGACACTGTACGTGAAGACGTGTGCATTTCTGAGCCCGCCGTGAAAGTAACTTTCAGAACTTTCAATGGAGGGGAAAAAAAATAGTTTTCAACAGAAGCTGTAGAGAAACGTGAAACTCATTTTCTATACAAAACATTTTCCCCCAAGTTTACTGTTCTTGTGATTATTACAGGAAAGGAAGCCAGACTTACCAGAATTGGTACACTGTGTGTGCATCTTTTTAACTTGTTTATTAGTTACAGAGAAAGTGAATTCCAGTCATCCCCTGTGCATCATGGTTATTCTGTGAGCCAGGAACCGGAAACCATCCATTGTTCTTATTTCACAAGCGTCAAGCATGTACAGTCATAAATTATAATCATAATTGTATTTGACGGTACAGATAAAAGTGTTTGGAATTAATGTGTAGCAGTAGATCCTGTCTCCTTATCTTCCTGTTCAGGTGCAAGCAGGCTTAAATGTGTTGTTCCTTTTAGGTTTAAACATGTCACTCACAGTTCCAGCTGCCAAACTGCTTGCTCCAGTTTTAGGCAGGCAGTGATAACGATTGTGTGCTTGAGGACTTTTTTTTTTGTTACAGGTCTGTCTCCCAATAGCAGTGCAGTGCCTCTGATTAAAGAACGTGTAACAGACGACAAGTTTGACCCTGAAGTAGCTGCTTCGAAGATGGAAGAAACAGCAAAGGAGGATCCTCCTGAGGTTGCCAAACTTTTTTCATTCCTTCAGATCCTGACTGCGACATTTGGATCATTCGCACATGGGGGAAATGATGTAAGGTGCGTCTTGCATCACATAAACTTAGATAAGCCAATGCCTTCATATTTTTATGGCCATTCTCTCGGATTTGTAACATCTGAAAATCATAACAGTGTACCAGAAGTTTACACGTTTCTGAGTATGGTGAGGTTAGTCGTGTTTTATAATTCTTGACATTTTCACTGCTGGCTATTTAAGTGATTTGATCGAATTAGCAGAACCATTTTTATTGACTAAGAACTGAACCTATTATCTGCATATGTTATATGACAGTCTGATGACATCCCCGTTGGAGAAAACATGTATTTATGTGATTACTTAAGTCATGAGTAGTCGCTGGCAGTTTGTGGCTATTTTAAAAGAAAGAAATGTCAGAGACACGACCACATGTGTCTGTAACATAACCTAGCAGTGTGAAGGATGTGTATTTGTAGCATGGAAAGGCTTGAAGTAGGTTCAGGCATGGAACGAGAGTATCATACACTGGAACAATTAGAATATTTCTTGTGAGCTGTGATAGATAACTCACTACAGACACTGTCCCTGCCAGAAAAGAAATCTACATGTTAAGGTATGGGGCCCGTCTTCCAAACTGTGCTCTCATTACTATCCTACCATTGAGGGTAACAGACTACAACCTGTTGCATCCCCACATTGGAACAAAGAGTTCCATGCCCTTGCATATGTGAGCTCATAATTTCAGTGCCCACCATCCCTAGAGGCAGTGTGCAAAGAATAAAAACAGATTCCGTTGAAGTTGCAGCCAATATGTGGCAGCAGCGCGAATTTTACCTTCAGAGTTGGTTATTTAATGATGCTGACAGTATTGAGGCCACGAGCAGCATCAGTTCTAGAATAATTAATGAACATGGAGCAGTTGAGGGAATAACAACTGACAGTGCGAATGTAAGTACTCAAAGAACATTCCACTTTGTTCGTCACACATCCCATATGGCCTGACCGGGGATCGAACCCAGGCCACTGTGGCGGGAAGCCAGCAAATGCAGTGACGGTTTCTCCTGTTTTCTTTCCCATGGGTGATTCTGACATTGCAGAATGCAACTCCAGACATGACTGACTGTGCATATGATATGATATGGTTGCAGCAATGCTATTGGTCCGCTGATAGCGTTATGGTTGATCTACAAGGAGGGCTCTGTGCAGCAGCAGTCAGAGACGCCTCTCTACATCTTGTTGTATGGTGGCCTTGGCATTTCCATTGGCTTGTGGATATGGGGCCGAAGGGTGATTCAGACAATAGGCGAGGACCTCACTAAGATCACAGCTTCCACGTGAGTCATTCGATACGATACAGTTTTCTGTTCAAAATGTGATGTGTTACGTCAATATTTGGACTATGTTTTGGTCATTTTCTGTCTGCTGTGATGACAGAAAATTTGTGTTCCTCTGAAACCTCCCGGAGTGCTCCCAGCCATATTCCAGAAGACCACAGTCTAAACCTTTGCTGCTGTGAACACATCACATCCATTACTGTAAATCATGTGCATGCGCACAGACACCTCTCATTGCTCAAATGTTTTAATGAATTGTGTTATGGGAAGATTGTTACTGCTTGTCTCTGTCTGTCAGATTTTTCAATTACTTTTCATGTGGTTTAAGGGTGAGGGTGTTTAGGTGCATTCTGATTTTATATTGGTCCAATACAGCCCCTACTTTTTGTAAGTTAATGTGGAAGACTTTTACAAGAAGGTTTTGATTAAGATGTGAAAGAAGTACGGTAATGAACCAGTCACTGTGCGGAGGTATTGCTTAATAAAGGGAATGCATAAGCATGGAGCTCCTTTTAAAATCACTGTCTTATGAATTTTGCTTGAAGCAGCTGGAAGAAAAAACACTAAATGAATTTTCATGAAATTTCATACAGTGTTACACCTGCATATAATGGAATGGTCCTCAGTTTAAGATTTTCTGTCATTCAGCATTCGATTTCAAGGATCCCAAGTCGGTAATCCCGATGTTAAATTTTCCACTTTAAGATTTCACTCCATATAGTCATTGGCTTTACTGTTCGCAAAAGAAACCATCACTATAGTGGGGTATTCTGCTGCAGTTTGTTGACCCATTCCAATTTTGGTTAATACAGGAACAAAATAACAGAGTTGACAAAAGCCTGCATGTGTTCCACTGCATATGCTTCCTTAACTGTCTGAATTGCTGGAACTGAAAGTTTGGAGTGATAAAATGTATAGAGGAAAAATGGAACATATGGTTTGTGCATAGTACACTCTTTTCATAAAGTTTGTATGAGTAGTAGCTGAGATAATGGAACAGTAAATTGTACTGCTATGCATGCATTTCCTAACTTTGTATATTCATCAGTCTCTGGTGATACTGCGGACACAAAGATTGCAGAACCAGGAACAGTGTTCCCCCAAAATGCGCATGAAGATGACTGAAGTCCCTTCTTACTCGAGATGACTATAAAATTCTTTGCAGTTATCCTCGCACTTGAATGCACAGGTTTTCACCCACTTGGGCCTGCGCACAAATACAGTGAATGTGATTCTAAATTATTATCAAGGTTTCCATGGCTTGTAATTTTCAAACTGAAAACCAAAAATTAAAGGCTCACATGTTGAAGTTGTTTAGCATTCTGCACTATTGATTCTACATGTAATAAAACTTTTGAGTTACCCTTTCATATTCTATGTGCAGTTTTGTTTTATTTTTTCCTATTTGAAAATCACGGGCTACAGAAACTGCGACAGTAATGTAGACTGACCCTGTATACGAGGTGTGTTCAGGAAATAACGGGAATTTTAAAATTTCGTGGGTTTGGAGAGTCCAATTGTCAAAATTTTTTTTTATTATGTTGGTATACATGCCCCTGAAGTACAATAAAATTTTCAGCTGTATTCATTGCTTACTTTGTCTGTGGCAGCCGCTAAGGTTAGACGTGTTTTTATGAGCTTGGCGATTTTCGTTTGTTAAAAGAAATGGATCAAAGAATTTGTATCAAATTTTGCGTAAAAAATGAAATAANCCACAAAGTTGAATCCTTGGGTTACAGAACCCCAACATTCATTTCCATGTGCACAACAGCCCCCCAGCACTGGTCCCTTTTCTTATCCAGAAGACTCAAGTTTGCCCCCTCCAGTCCTATTTGTCTTTCTAGTGATCTCTTTACTTCCTGTGTGTATTTAATTAAAACATAATATTATATAAGAGCATTAATACTTTTCTTGAGCTTATCTGAATGGATACTTACCACATTAAATACGTGGCATGAATATTGATATGTTGTTATCAGGGCACGGATTTTGATGACCTGAAAATATTAAAAAAATGACCGAAAAAATCCAGAAAATGACCGAAAAGAGAAAAGAAAGAACACTTCACTTCCATGTTATTCACATTTCAGAAAACATGAAGAAAAATTCCCTAAAATGGCCAAAAATGATAAGAAATACCTTTAAAGTCCAAAAATTTACGAAAAAATATACCCCCCAAATGAAAAAATGACCTTAAACCTAAAAATGTCAAAAAATGACGAAAAATTAAGTATAAAAATTACATTTCCATAACCAACAGCTGATATCCGAGATTTATATATTTAAGAGCATCGCATAGGATACAAGGAAAAAAAGATGACATGCCATCAAAATCCGGGCCCTGGTTGTTGTTGTT